ATTTTTGTTTTACGTGCACAAATTTCTATCTCTCAAATATTAGAAAAGAAAGTTTACTTTAATTGATACCACTCTGTTTCTTATTATTTGTTATTTGTAACGAGGCATTTTAATTTTCTTTTTTATTTGTCACTTGTACCTCTTTAATGCTTTATTTTCGATTCTACCCCTATTAATTATAGTAAAGGTTAAGAGAGAGGAATGAGTGAGAAAATATACTTGTAAGTAGAAGATTTCATCTATTTAATGTTCTTCTTAATTCTACAAGTGACAAACATCTCTCTTTATAGTTTACACAGAGTATTACACACTCTGTTTCCTAACATCTTTTAGACGCAATTTTTGATCCCAAATATAAATTACCAACAGTCTTATTAATTACTTTTTTATCATTTTACCCTTGTTACTAAGTGAGATTCAAAGTTCGGAAAATTAAATCAGATCATTGGGCAAAGTAGGAAAATTAACTGTCATTCGCAAATATGTGTGAAAAGTTCCCAGGAGTATATGTCGACTCCTATGTCCCTTTTTTTCTTTTTCACCGGAGTCATCATTTGTATTCCTATAAGTAACTTAAAACATTATTTAATGAAAATAAGAAAAACTTTAGATTTTACTAACTATGTGGTAAACTTTAACCACTTTTCAACTTTATCCTTATTTTAATTTAATATATATATACTCTTTAAAAAAATAATACCCATTTATACAATAATAAATGAATAATAAATTGTTATTATATTCATGTTAAGAAATTGACAACAAAAATAAATAAATAAGACTGAAAAGACCATTTCTTTCTAGCTTATAAATATGATCAGGGAGTGTATATATCCTTTTTGTTGCCGGCAATATATATATATATATATATATATATCCATTAGAAATTGTTCTCTTCCAAGAAATACATGTGGGATTTTTTTGATTATTGGTGACCATAGAGTGTGAGAAGCTTAATTTCTGTACTTGAATTAACCAATTTCATCAAAATAGAAAAAAAAGAAAAACTTTAGAAAAAGTAAGGAGAGACTTCAGGGATGATATGCACGCGGTATGTGGTCTCCACTCTCCAACATCATTTTCTGTGTCTCCGAAGTCTAACGTCGTTTTGCTCTAGAAAATCCAAATTTTTGAGAATCATTATTTGTTTATTTATTCACCTTAATGTATTATTGTTAACTGATGCAATTAAATTAAAGCATCATAGGAAAATCTCAAGGGGCGTTATACTATATTTTTAAAATAAAGTTGTGAGATAATCTAATTATTTTAATAACCACAGTTGTTTGCGAATCCTAATTAATTACATTTACGTTTCAAACGTTTCTGTATCCGATGCACTGCGGAAATAAGTACGAGAACGAAGAGTCGGCATCGGAATTCATCATCCACGTCGTCCATATCCATCCATATGCTTATATTAATTCCAATCTCTACTTGTTCTTCATATCTGCTTCGGGAAGCAAAGAGACCAGCATTGTTAATTGCAATTCCACCATTAATTTGCAGCATTCATTATGAAAACCATTATAAATAACCACCTCATGGACCCATATGGAGATCATCCCCAGTTCAAGATCTCTCTTATACATTAGTCTCAGTCGTACTGATCCTCTGAAAATATGGGCGGCAAAGGTGGCGGTGGCGGCGGAGGCAAAGGAGGGGGCAGCGGAGGTGGTAAAGGTGGTGGCGGCGGCGGCGGCGGCGGCGGCGGCGGCAGCGGGAGCAAAGGAGGGGGCAGCGGGGGTGGCAGCAAAGGGGCGGCGGCTATATGAAAGCGCCGGGTGGTGATGGAGCGTACATATCAAGGGATGTGTTCGAGAGTAACCCACAAGCTTATTTCAGTGATCTTCATTCTGCAGAGAAGGGAAACAAGTAGTACTGGTGCCTGCCACCTTCGTGTTCTGATAATGGAGTCTTAACTCCCTAAATAAACTTCTTAGTTTAATATATATGACTATATATGTTTCTACGTTGCTTTTGAAATACTCTCTCTCTCTCTCTCTCTCGTAATGCAAAAGACTTGTTGTGATCATGTCTGGTTTCCTTCTGTGTTATCTTATAACTAGTTTTTCTCATCTTTACTTGAAAAGATCAAGTCCTGAAGAACAAGGTCTTTTATTAGGGCTTTCTCTTATGCCCTATCACAAAGAAATCGAAGGTGTTACTGAACTGGCTGGAAAGCCCTTATTTGTGAGTGATTTTTATACAGGCAACCAGAAGGTGCAGGGAGAACGTTTGTTAAAACTGAAAGTAAAAACTCCACGATAGGATTATTTTTTCATTAGAAGGAATATATAATTATGGCCGGAAAGTTTCTTTTGATAGGATTATTTTTTCATTAGAAGGAATATATAATTATGGCCGGAAAGTTTCTTTTAATATTAATTAATGATTTCTCTCTGAGTTTATTGAGATTGATTAATTAAAGGGAGATATGAGTTATGTCATTTAAACACAAAACACAAATCTGATGTTTCAACTATGAATCAACCATTTTCTTTGAAATTCAGAACTTCCTTAAACTTTTAAGGTTCTGGCTTAACTTAATAATCTAATGTAAGGCCAATGGGGGGAGTATAGGTGTCCATTGAAAACCAAATGTTAGGCAATGTCATGGAGTTAGTTCGTAAATAATTAATTATTAATTAGTGGTAGTAATTGATGGAAGATAAGGATGCTAAGTATAAAGGGGATTGGTCCTTATACGTGCCCCCACCTAAATTATAAGATACATGTCCCAAGTCATTCGTGATTTGTAATTACTTAACATTAAACTATATACAGACATACAAATTCGTTTTTTTAACGAAGGTGAGAAGTAGAAATTAATGACTCTCGAAATCCAAATTAATGCAAACAACAAATTTCTCCAATAAGCTATTATCAAAATTTCTTTTTTTTTTTTTATATGAAGATAATGCTAGACTGCATAAAATTTTATATGCTTAGGATTATTTACAAATAACGGTTAGATGTCGATAACCCTTATTAGTTATCAATTATATATCTTCCTTAAACTTTATTTTTATATATGCATATAATAATCCCCAATTTTGATTGATATATAAATAATTCCCCGACTTTCACGGGATAAGTTATCGCGTAAAAGCAAGAGATTAGAGAATTTATTATAAACTCTCAAAGGTTTCAGACATAATAATGGTATATGGTTTAAAATTTATGAGAGGTTATGTTTAGTTTAGCTTAAAAATAATTATGTGTTGGAGTTATATTAATGCTGTAAAATCAATACTAGCGTTCTTTGGTAGGATTTCCATTTTAAAACATTACAAATTCAAAATGTGTTGGTCACAAAAAGAAATAGTAAAAGAATAAGTATTACTCCCTCTTTTTTTTTTTTTTAATAAAAGCCTGAAATTTGAATTGCTTTAGTCATTTTTATAAGATCCCACTTTGTGGTTATCTGAACATTTGATATGTTTTTACCATTTTTGCCCCTAATTAATTTTATAGATTGCATTAATTAAAGGGTTTACTACATTGTCATTCTTACTTATCCCTTATAAATAAGGGCATGTTTGAAAAAATAAAGTTCATTTTTACATATTTATTAGTTTTAACTAATTTTAATTATTTTCTTAAACTGCATAATTTATTTATTAGGCTCTTATGAAAAAAGACTTGAGGGAGTATTAATATGTTCTATGTGTCTAAAAGTCATCTTCCCTTTATTCTTAAACTTATCCTTTTCCATCGAGACACCCGTTTCCATGAAAACGGCTTGACTTTTCTGCTACCTGCTTCCTTATGTTTTTTTTTTTTTTTTTCACCGGAGCCTGCTTCCTTAATTATGTGACAAAAATAACAAGGAGAATATAGAATTACAGCAACAAGACCTATCTCATCAAATAAAATCAGATAAATAAATCAACTTACGCTATTATGGGTTGTGCAAATGACTGTATGTTTAAAAATGCCATCCATTTCGCTGGCAAAACAAAAAATGTCGTCCATTTCTTCAACCTCGTATACATTTTTCTTTTTTTGTTAGTTCCTATGATTTAGATATAAAAGAGGAGGATTGTGTTAGGTTGATAGTTACACGAAAGATTTAGTTGAATTTATATGGACATGGAGAAGAATAAAAATAAAACTTTGCGCTAAGGCACAGAAAATAAGATAGGTAAATAAACTGATCAAGGTAGTGATTTAATCATCAGTGGTCCAAGTCTAGCTATGATTGAATAGAGATCAACCCAGTAATAATTAAAATATTAACTCCGGTCTTATTTATAAGATCTCTTTTGTAGATTACAAACAATGTCTTATAATTGGAACCAGAGGTAGTAATATAATTTAATTATAAAATCCTTAAAAGAGTAATATTTGAATAAAAAGTATTTAACACACAGGTAAATGGGACATGCATATATAAGCTATACATGATCCAATAAAACAAGAGTTACCAAAGCCTAAGTTTGACATGTTGTCATTTTTAGTAAACTTAAAATGACGTGGTTTTAGGCTCAATAATAAAAGAAAAAAATATAAAATCTAGCCTGATTGACCTGTCTAAAATTTTTCTCTGAACTGCCAAGGATTGGTTAACCAATTTGTTGGTTTGACTAGTCGACTTAAGTTGAGTTTTAATACTACCCCCGGTACTATTTATAAGATCTCGTTTGTAGTCTACAAACGAGGTCTTATAAGTAGGACTGGAGGTAGTATTATAGTATGGGTACTAAGGCCTTTAATTAAGACTCAAGAAGAAGAACAAGCCCAACAAAAATAAAAAATTGACATTAAAATAATAATAATAATAAAAAGAAAAATATGATAAGAGAAATATTGGATGTATATGAAGACTCAAATCAAGCAATTAGAGAATTAATCACAATTATACAAGTATGTGTGATGAATGCATCCAAAATAACAAGATATTTTGATTAAAGTGACTACTCATATAGGTGCGATTAATACAAAACCTTAATAGAACATACAAAACCGAAGTGAAAATAACTTTAAAACAAAAAACATAAACTGACAAACATGCCGGAAAGTTAGATTTTTTGTTCAAGATGTGACGAGAAGCTGCGAACAAGAGAGTATATATTGTTCACACTTAATTTTTAGATATAAACACCAAGAGGGATACAAGGAAGATGCAGAGAGAACCAGTAAGAAAGACAAGTCCTATAGAACCACAGGTTATGGCCATTAATTCCGCAAACTCTGATATGAAAGCTTGATGATGATTTGATGATCTCTCAAACTTTTCCCCATAGACTTCATTCTTATAGTTCCAACCACATCTATCCACAAGCCTCTCTCTCTTTCTGATTCTACCGATTCTCTCTCTTAAAACACTCATGTTTGCATCCACACTGTTCTCTGATCAAAATCAACAACAATATCGAAGAACACAGCATATCAGAACAAGCAACATCTTATTTGTTACACAGATGAAAGAAGATTCATATGTAGGAGTAACAAAGCTGATGGATCACGCATACCATTGTCTCTAAAGCTTTGGGACCTCATTTTGGGGTACTGAAACATGATCTTATGCCAGGAAAGAACTTGGTTGAAACAGCAGAGAGAAGAAAAAGAATAAGCCATGATGAGGTTAATACCATCTCTATTAAGAATCACCCCGTTGCTTGAGATCCTACCTTTATATATACACACATTCACACAGACACACATACTTGAATATGAAGTAAAAGTTGCGAGGAATATAAAATAGTCTATACATTGATGCACAAAGTCTTTTCCTTTGGGAAGGCATTAATACGAGTGTAGTATGATTGAAGGTTATATATTATATATAATGTTTTAGACTTTTAAGAAAGAAACAAAGGAAATTGGAGTCCATGTGTCTTTTGCTTTAGACTTACACATGGCACTGTTGAATTTTGATTGAAGTGTGGCCGCTCATTAGATTTGAGACCATAACACTCATCAAGTGATCATATTGCATGTGTGATGAAGGGCAACATGTTAATGAGTATTAAATATGCAAATCATGAGATGTACCCTAAAACTTTAACTATTTCTTATTTCTATCAGTTTAATTTTTTTTAAGCTAAAATCTTGATATCTTCAGGTTAAGATTTAATGATGATGATGATGATTAAAAAAAAATTGTTGCTGTAAAATCAATTAGTTACTGAAAGATATAATCCACTTTCAAAATGAGCTGATATTGTTACAATCAGATATACTCCTTACGATCCTAAATATAGAAGATAAAAAATTAATTTACAGAAATTAATGAAATTAGTAAGCTATTATTCCTTTAAAAAAAATACTCCCTTCGATACTTTTAATAAATTCAAATTCTTGAATTAGTCTGATTTTTTTCATAAGATATTGTTCAGGGTTGGCTTTTTTTTCTTTCCCTGGAGGTAATTGATTTTATCTTCTTAAATAATAGAGGCACATACTGTGTAGAGTTAAATTTGGAAATCTAGTTCATTGACGCAAACGTTCTATATTGGGCAAAGCCGAATTCCTTCTCAAAGATCCCACGTGGCAATTTCTTCATGGAAAACGTCGTTGGTAATTCGGCACTTATGTCTGCCTGATCCACGATTTACAATGATAGTGGCAACTGGTAGGTAGATGCTATAGTTATCATATAAGAAGACAAGTGCAAAAGATCAAAGGGCAAAAGCAAAAGATCAATGTAAGCTTACACATGTTGCGTTTGGATGATTGTGTAAAAGTAGACAACAAATATATTCATTTCTTATGTGCTTTTCTCTTTCCCTCCATTAAAATAAGCAAGCAGGTAAAACACGTATGAACACTTTCTGTCACGAGTTGATGTAACTCGAGAGAAAGGAAATTAAAAAATTTCACAAAGTATTCTAGAAGAATTCTGAACTTCAAACATGCAGGGGAAGCCATTAGCCCTCAAATTTATACGTATTAACATTATCAAAACTCTGCCAAATCATATACTCCAGTTATAAATTGCAAGGCTCATTTGTCATGCCGCATATGGTAGGCATACAGTTGTCCTAAAAGGCCCATAACAAGGGGAAAAGATTAATGTCCAATTTCTATGCTCTACAATTCGTGCTAACAAGCCATAAGACAAGTTGAAATGCAAATCTGCTCAAGGTAGGCTCATTCCTCCTTGGTTTCAAAGAAAATTTGCCAGGAATGAACATGATCTTGCAAATCACCAAGCAAAATCATTCATCCATCTGAGAGAAATTTTAATGAATATAAAATGTCTTTACATCGATGCATAAAGTCTTTTCCTTTGGGAAGGCATTAATACGAGTGTAGTGTGATTGAAGGTTATATTTTATATATATACATACATATATATATATATTTCATCCATCTGAGAGAAATTTTAATGAAGTCCTGAATGTAAAAGGAAGAAGAGGTTTATCACAAACATGTAAATGTCAGACGAGCTTGTGTCAATAAGATTGATCACAATCCCTTCCCAAATGTAACACCAATTGTGCCAAACAAGCAAGTCCTTGCCATTTATGTTCCAGAGGCTAAAATTACACTACATATATACCAAGACTCGTCATCTTATTGACCTACAATTTTACGCCGCATGATTACAAACTACGAGAGTAGTTGCTAGCAGCACAGAGGAAGAAGATACAGAAGCTAAACCTACATGCATACAGGAGGATACGGATGCTATAAGACCAAACTGGTCTCTGACAAAACATCTATATACTATATTACACAAGAGTTGACGATCTTGTATACATATGACCTAAGTAACAAACAGCTCCACTGTATATCATTATATATCCATGTCAGCGAATATTTCTCCATCTTCCTCGTCCCGTATCTCATCCATAAGGAACCCATCAGCAACCAAATTACTGCCAAAGACAAAGCAACAATGAAAGCTAGGGATGAATATCGTTATGACCCAAAAAAAAAAAAAAAAAACAGAACAGAACAGAAGAAAAGAACTGATGTCATGAAAATGAAATAATCTCCAAATCAACCCACCTAAAACATCCAAAACGGAAAGTCACAATCCTCTTTAGCTTTCTATTATAGAAGAAGAAATTAAAGGACCATCTGAAGAAACCAGCAAAACACCACCTTATTAGAAAACTTTACAGGTGAAAACAAGTGACCATTTAAACATGTTTAAAACGTATATGATGATGACAGCAGCGGAAAAACATTTACATTGCTCCTCTCTCTAGTAATGGATCCGCTTCAGAATCTGGGTCATAACTATATATTTCGCAGTCTGATAACTTCACCACCTATTTCACAAGGAATCATCAGTAAAATACCACTTACTATCTCAAACATTGGCTTTAAAGGTAACCCACCTCATCAAGGGCCTTGTATAGAGTGTCCAGCAGAGAGACACCCCCATTGGTTTCAAGCCATTCCTGCATTAGACAGGTCAAGCAAAAACAGAGATGAGTACAGCACGTTGCGACGAAAATTAACCATGGTCACCATATACCAAATAAAAAGCATTAGTTTTTTTTTCCCCAAAAAAAAAAAAAAATAGAAAGCATAACATTTTCTGCACAACCTTGAATGTTGCATGTTAAGCAATAAATAATAAAGAAATATCCTAACGTTACGTAATGGATTTAAAAATATTTGTATAAATAAAAAGGTAAAAGAGAATATTCAAAATGTTTATATTAAAAGTTTTTTTAAAAAAAATCAACTGATCAAAATAAAAATAATTTTAATAGTTGTTGATATTAAGAGTATCATGATAATTTTTTAGCAATTAATAATTCATAACATGCCAAACATAATTATGGCTTTCAAAATTCTGTTCCGTCAAAATCATTCATCTTTCTATCTTTATTTTCATTTCAAAAAATATATATTATGAATCGATGGGCACCCTCAAGGAAAGATAATTATTTATGAGTACAACTATAACATTATTCATTTAGCCAATATTTTATTACAACATCAAGAGCATAGTGATTTATTTTCACTTGTTTGATATCTAATTTTCCATCACTTTTTCCAAATTAATTTTACAGCATCCAAGCAACTGAAAAAAGGGAAAGCGGAATTACAATTTAACCCTCATTTAAATCAGGCCCCCTTTTTCTTTAATTCCTTCACTTCCCCTCCCAATTTCCAATCATATCTTTTGGCATAATACGATCCCTTTCTCACGATGCAACCATTATAGAAGTAAAATTCAAAAGAGGCGATTTGGTAGTAGCACCTTTGAGGCTTCAAGCATGTAGGTATCAAAAATCTGTTTAAAACTGTCCCACGATTCCTCTGCGAAGTATTGATGAGCTTTAACTGCACTATAAACCATCAAAGGAGTAGGAATATACTATTATAGAAAGCACAATGGAATACACCACCATAAACATCATATAAGACTCGAGGCATTAGATAAGACTTGAGGCATTAGTAACTGGCCAAATAAATGACCAGAACAAGACTTTGGGAAATGGAGAGACTCGAACTCTCAGCTGCCAGAGCAACAGTTTTATGAACTGTCTGTCAAACCTTTTGACAACACTCCCAATAAAATCAAAAAGAGGATTATATAGCGGGTTGCCATGTCGCCATATAAGCTGACAGTAGCATTACCCATAATCCTCCTTTTCACTCAACACGTGAAAGCATCTCTGATACAGCATAAGATACTAAGATACCTGAATTCATAGTCCGGATACATGTGATAGAGGGTAAGAACCAAGTACACCAATGTCCTTCGGCTGGAATAAACACACGAGAAAAACATGTTACACAAACGGCTGGTATTAAGTCTCCCTTTACAAAATCTATCGACAACCAATTGGGCACCTGGATCTGCTAGATATGCAATCAGGTGATGAAGAAGAATCGGTGTCTGATGATTTCCCAAGATAATCAGCAATCTGAAATTTAAATAATTAAATAAAGAAACTACAGCATTAGAAAAAATATTCGGTGAACACCAAGAAGCGTAATAGGATAAACTATGCTATGAAATCCAAGCATAATAATCCCGCACCTTAAAACTCACCATCTAAAATAAAGAATAATTAAAATTAAATTACTGATGGCAGAAGGGGGAGTCATTAGCGCAAGAAACAGAAACTGAGACATTAAAAACTAACGTTCCCAAAATTCATATATTTTAGGCATAATAAGTCATCATCAACCTATTTACCTCGCTGTCCAGGCTGAGGGACAATCTGTGAGAGAGTTTTTTGTCAGCTCCAGCGTGCTTGCCTAAGAACCCAACGCCAAACAAAGTTTTTCAAACCAATCCAAACAAAGTGAATATACAAAACAAAATCTTCTGACTGGAGTCATGAATTTCTCCTCACAAGTATAAGCTTCAAGACATCCTTTGATGGTACGTTCTCCCATATCCAAATGACTTAAGAAGTCGTTCAGCCTACAAATTTTAAAAAGACACTATTGGATACTAATTCGTTCATAATAAATAAATATCCATAATCCATCACAAATAAATTGATTTCATAGTTACCGATCCAGAGAAGCAAACTCTAGGAATTTCATGGCTAAGTATTTGAATGCAACACGATGATTCCAATGTGACTAATGTAAACTGCAGAAAGAACTCCAGTCTTTCCGTCTTCCTATGGTATAACCAAAGAACCAAAAGATAACAATAAT